AGTGGCATGGCCTTGTTCCAGAGCCCTTCCTCGACCCTGTCATCTACACCAGGCCGGCACGGGGAGGTACTTGAGTTTATTCTTGGAGTACTCGTCGGGTTGGTGTAGTCGCCGTGCTTCTTGACTCCAAAAGGGTTGTTTTGATCTTCTGGAGCCTCTATTGAGAAAGACGCTGCTCCTCGTAGGAGGTTGGGTTGATGCTTGCCCGTGCTTATGTCAGGGCAGCAAAAGCCAATGTTTGTTGCATTGACACGGTGGCAGGAGTGGACAGCAAGGTTGACCTGCGGTGGAGGCGCAGAAGAGCAGCGCCGGCACAGAAGGAGATGAGCACGGCCGGCTGGAGAGAGGACGACGGCACGGAATTGGGATCGGATCACACGAGTTGTATGTGCAAAAAACAACTTAGCTCATGATACCATGTTAGGAGAAATAGCAACTTGGTATTATCACGAGGCAAAAGCCATCATATATACATGTACAAGGAAGGCCAAAGGCCAGAATGTAAAAGGCCAAAGGCCGCCATAAATATAACTCTAACAACCTTCTCATATGTACCAGAAATTATTTCTGTCTGTCTGTATGTATGTATGTATGTATGTATGTATGTATGTACCATAAATACATCTATTTGGCTGAAAAAAATGAATCAGTACAGGCCCAGCCCAACTACGGGAGAGGAAAAGGCACGACGCCTGGCATACTACATCGATCGATTCGATCGATTGAATCGCATCTCGGCATCTGCGTCTGGTCCTGGTCGCCTCGGGGGCTCGTCCGCCTCCGCCTGCTGCTCTCTCTGTCTCTCGAAGACTCGCACAGACGCCCGGCCGGCCGGCCGCCGGCTGCTGCAATCAGGTGGCCCTTTAATCCTTGATTCCGTGATTCCCGTCTTGATTTTCTTGGTACGGTTGATTTTCTTGCTTTCTTGGCGTAAACGTATTTATCTATTGATTTTTTTGCAGCTTTAGGATTTAGGTGTTACAATGACGAAACCTAAGTCCGGTGCTGCGAAAAGGAAACACAAAAAACTAGAGAATCAATTCATTGAGTCACAAAAAGGTGCTATAAAAATGTGTTTTCCAGTCCTGAGTACTGTTGATAATGAAAGACGAGAATCTGAACCCGGACAAGATGATGATCATAATTCAAACGATGATCATGAAGTTAACGATCAGTCCTTGGATGACGGTAAGTAACTAACTAGCGTCGATTTTTGTAGAAGTAAGTAAGTAACTAACTACAATTTTGTATTTAAATGCAGATATTGATGTTGATCTTAATGAGAACAGTACAGGAGAGGAAAATTTGCAGCCTTGGCCTGATGCTCAGAATGGTGAGGAACAAGATGATTTAAGAAATGCCCGGAGAAGTTTTTTCGTGAAGAATTGAAGCATTATTGTCTATGAATTAGAATTTGGATCTATTTAAGGTAAGCAAACTAGCAGGGAATATTGTTTCTCATATTTAATATTTTGCTACTTTATTAGTGTTCCTTTCATGATATGACGTCTGCGTGATTATCAATTTTTTATATGTTATACGTCTCAGAATAACAAAATATGATCGGATATGCGTACATATATATTACCTATAAGGGCCCTTTTTTCAACTTGGCCAAGGGCCCCGAAAAACATAGAGCCGGCCCTCCTTATGTGTATATGTTTTTCTTATAAATCATCAAGACAAGTAGTGTCTCTAATCTCTTATCTTCGCCTCAGTTGTATGTTTCTTAACTTGTTATTACACCATTCATTCTTTCCTAGACACAAAGAGATGACTGACAAATACCACATATCAGTATAGTCTCTTCGCTGTTTTTGGACTACCACACACCTTTATAATCTTCTAACTGTTTTTCGGTTACTAATTCTACTGTGCATCTGTATGTTGTGCATATATTCCGATCTTCCAATTTTTTATAGCCATAAAAAGTAAGAGCAGGCTAGCAAGAAGTAGCAAGTTTCACAACAAGGAAGACTACTCTCAGTGGCAAAATGGTTGAAGGTTTCCGATGACATGGATGATGTGCCCGAAGATGTATTTGAACATGAGATTTTCTTTGGTTACAACTCAGGACTGCAGAGTTTGTGGTTAAAGATGGAACGTGAGGCACTTATGTGCATGTGCCACAAATCTCTGTTTTCCGCATTACTTCTCCCCACTAAAGCTAAGTTTGTAGCGGTTAATTGAGCGAGTATTCATCGGCAGCTAGTTTTTCATGTGGCGGTATTCCATCAGTTAATATTCTGCTCTAGTTGATGGTACTGACCTGTTCCTTTTATTTCTGTTCTCTCCTTACCACAAACACTTCCATTTTGTTATTTGTTTAGCACACTCTTGTAACTGTTATTTATATAAATGACACTTCTTTGTGAATGACATATGTTAAGATTACAATGTGTGGGCGCTGATATTGTTATACCGATGCACAAAAGAATAGGTAAAGACAATTATTTCACTTAATACACAAGATAAGCAGCCTATATTTTTTTTAGGCCTGGCCGATTATGAAGAATTCAAACAATGGTACTCATGAGGTGCACCACGAGAAAGATTCTTTACTAAATAGCTCCACTATATATTAAAATTTCATTTTTTTAGTCTGCCTATGTATCCTCTTATTTAAGTAATGTGTGAACTTGACGCACGAAGCCCTTAATTTCGACAACTTTCATTATGTCTTTCCTATATCATCTAGTTTCACGGATTATTACATTCAAAGGAACTTTCTATCCTGAACTTACATTATGTCTTTCCTATATCATCTAGTTTCACGTGTTACTCATTTTCTTAGCGGATGTAAACATTTCTATTGAATGTGAATCACCTCTTGTTTGTGCCAGTTGACCTCTTGTTTGAACTACTACTACTACCATGGTCGGCATTAACATGCGCTGCTACTGTCATGATTCTGATGACGTAGCCCGTAGTTGGGTAACCTGGGATTACCTGTTTTTGAAAGGAAACAATTCCTGAATGAATGAATGATACTGATGCGTTTCTAGTCTGTGATTCCCTTTTTTTGGGGGGGACAAAATGCGTTTCTAGTCTGTGATTTCTGTTTATTTTCTGGACAGGTTCTTTTTTCCCTTTTTGAGAATTAGATTTTGGACAAACTGCTTGTACTATTGAATATACTGCTCCCTCCGTTCCTAAATATAAGTCTTTATAGAGATTCTATTATATACTACATTCGGAGCAAAATGAGCGAATCTACGCACTAAAATACGTCTGTGTTCATCCTTATGTAGTCTATTTAAATCTCTAGAAAGACTTTGTTAATTGTCTGACTGGCGGTTGAATCTTTGAAATGTCTGACTGCAACAACTGCCGGTGTTGCAGTGCTATTGCACATTGCTAGGATGATTTTACATAAATTTATTTCACATGGTGCAAATTAAATGCTCTGATAACGCACAAATGCTTGCTAACTGAAATAGCTTGTAGTTATTGCAGGTTCGTATCATTCTAGATTGAACGTCTCAAGACGAGGCTCCTCTTTTGCTCCATTTTATATGCTTACCGGCGAACAGGAGGTACACACCTTTGTTAGCATGCATTTCTATCAATGCATCTCTTATGGATGCCACTCTCCAGGCCGTGTCAATTATATCTTTATGTGTGTATCTAGGAGGGCCCATGATGATGGATGTAGGTTATAATACTTGTAACCAGTCCAGACACACTTGCCCGGTCATATCATATCTCTGCAATGCAATTTAATTAGCTGGTTTGTTGACTTGTGTGAGGTTGATGCCTGCTCAAAACGGTGCTTGGATTAGCATAGCTCCTAGTCTTCTTGTTAATGCTTATAGTGCTAATTAATAAATAAAGCAAAACATGTCAGAAAAATGATACTTGGTGTTTATTTTAGTGTTCTTGATCAGATCTGATGCAATTTGTTTTAGTAATATAAATAAATAAAATCAGATAATTTTCTTAGAAAAAAGAAGTTAAGAATGAAAATAATAATCTTTGTGGCGGCATCCACATCAAGAAAAGAAGTCGTAGTGCCAAGCACTCCGTCTTGGAGGGCACCTAAGTTCACAACATCTTCACTTAGGTTTCATTGTGCATGATGTGTTCCTAGAAATTGTTGCATGACATATTTGAATAGTACTAATGCACTTCTAATTTGCCATTTGTTTTCCTGACTGCTTGGTCCCATACTATTGATCCCATACTATTGCAGGATTGTTGGAATAATCCAAACATAGATGAGTCAGTGCGTGTGCCGTGAGCGTAGGATGCATGGCAAGGATTAGCATTATTGTGATGAGCGTGGCCGCGTAATTAGATTAGGAAAATCGATAAGTTGAGTCCGGCTGGGGCTTGTGCCTGGCTATCTTGTTGTGTTGGTAGAAGCTGTACGTGTAGGACACGGTCCGGTAGGTTAGCTGGGTCCTTGACGTAGAAGTTGCATCATTGCGTGAGTTCTGTAACTCCATGAGAGAAAAACGAGAAATGAAATAAAGAAGAAAAATAAGGGCACGACAATGGCCCTTGGCTATAAGTTTTCCATGCGCGTGCGTTAGTGTGATTTGGTGTGATCGGTCCTGAGGATGGAATTCCAACAAGGATTATGTGTTGTTCGGACGTGGAGTATGTGATCCCGATCTCATATGATCTTTATGAACAGTAAAATCAGAACAATATACTAAAAAAATCAAAGAAATCTGATTTTTTTTGGCAAGGAACATTAATATTTTTTCTACACGCGTGGAATTTTCATGGTGAAATCACATTCATAGAGGTGTGGACAAAAAATACAAAATCGATCAATGCTCCAGAAAAGTGTTTTTGGAAGCATTTTGGAGCGTCAGTTTTTTTTGCCCACACCGCTACGAATGTTATTTCTTCATGAAAATTTCATGCGTGTAGAAAAACCAACAATGTTTCTTAAGATTTTTTATTTTTTATATTATTTTTGATTCTATTGTTTGTCTGAGATCCTATAAGCTCGGGCTCACAATAGCACTTTGGGTCTTGTTCTAGCTTGTTTATTCGACGATGCTCTGAATTTCTCTAGTCAAGGCTTCTCTTTCTGCTCCAGGCCTCCCAATAAACTTGAGGTGTGCATTTCTGATTGCATGCATCTCTGTCGCTACATCTCTCGTCAGAGCTCGGTCTCGAGGCTGTTTCTTTGAGCAGGATATGCCAAGCCTGAAGATCGAGACCAAGCACTCCTGAATTCCAATACTTGCAATGTTATCATGGTGCCCGATGTGCAGCCACATTGTTGTGTCTGCTATCTCAAAGGCTCTATCTGGAAGAGCATCCTGGACAAACTTATGCAAATCCAACGAATCTTGGAATGTGCCTTCTGTTGGGCTCCTTCCAGTAAACATCTCAAGCACTAATATGCCCAGACTATAAATATCACCAGCTGTTGAGACAACAGAGCCTTCTCCATACTCTGCAATTATGCAAAGGTTGTGGTTAACATTCCATATTTGAGTGAAAAAGTAAAATACAAAGTTAGAACAATTTTAGTCACCTGGAGAAACATAGCCAATGGAACCTCTAATTCCAGTTGAAGAAGTTTGCATCCCCTCGCCTGTATTTTCTTGAAGGATCCTTGATATGCCAAAATCTCCAACTCGTGCACTCATGCCTTGAGCAAGAAGAATGTTGCTTGGCTTAAGATCACAATGGATTACCAATGGTTGGCAGTAGTTGTGCAGATATTCTACAGCGTCCACAATATCGACAACAATATTAAGCCTCTGGGCAAGGCTGAGTGTGTTGTTTGTATTGGGCTCTTGAGATTTCGGATGAAGCCATCGATCCAAGTTACCATTTGGCATGAACTCAAAAACCAATGCCTTGAACTCTTGACCTTGATGGTTGATACTCGAACAAGAAGTAATGATCTTGATGAGACAATGGTGTCGTATCCTTCTCATTGCCTCACATTCAGCCTCAAAACTCTTTGAATACCTTGATTGACCAAGATTAAACACCTTGACAGCCAATGTTAATTCTTCGGTGTCCAAAACACACTTATAAACAGCGCCATAACTTCCTCTCCCAAGCAAGTTCACTTCTGAAAATTCATTAGTTCCTCTAAATAGTGCATGATAGGGAATTCTCTTGTAATTTTCATCGACGGTTGGATTTTGTGCTAATGTCATCTTGCTTGGTTTGAGCTTCCTGTATAGTATCCAAGCAAGAAGAATAATTGAAAGTGAGAACACGATTGCTCCAACTAACGCTAGAGAAATTACAAGAGACTTTGACATCTTTTTTCTGTTCTTGTTTAAGGGGTCTGTGGGGCATGGAGCCAACTGGAGCTGAGGTGTACCACCACACAAATTGATATTCCCAACAACTGCTGAGTAAGTGATATTTCTGAAAACACCTTCATTCGGCACCTCACCTTGCAAATTGTTGAAGGATACATCCAATTTTGTCAATGATGTCACTTTTTGTAGAACTAATGGGATTGACCCTGACAAGTTGTTGTGTGCTAGGTACAGTTCGTGCAGGTTTCCAATACTGCCAAGGGCCACAGGAATACTACCAGAGAACTTATTCATGGTCAAGTTCAATTTACTGAGTCCCTTTATATTCTTCAGTGATTGAGGTATGCTTCCATCAAACGAATTATTGTCTAACAACAACAATTCCAACACTATGCAGTTCTGAATACTATCTGGTATCTGGCCAGACAACCGATTACCTGATAGAGTCAGTTCGTTAAGATTTGCCAAACTACCGACTTCCGTAGGAATGGGTCCAGAAAGGGAATTGTATGACAAGTCCAAATACCAAGAAAGGGTGGGTAGTTTGAAGATCTCTCTTGGTATTGAACCATTAAGATTGTAGTTCCTTGACAAATCTAGTGCAAAGAGGTTTTTCAATCGCCCCAGGCTTGCTGGAAGTGGTCCCTCCAAGTTGCCATAGCTTGCATAAAATGAAATCAATTGTGAAAGATTCCCTAGCGATGATGGCATGAGTCCAGACAACCTATTATTTGACAAGGTTAGCTCGTTCAATTTCTCTAGCTTACCAATGCTCTCTGGAATCACTCCAGATATATAATTATTTCCTATTATAAGTGATTCCAGACCAACTAAATTGCCGATATTTGCAGGAATACTCCCAGAGATCCTATTGTACCCTAAGTATAACTTCTGGAGATTCGTTGAGAGGTTCACGATTGAATTCGGTAGTTGACCTTCAAAAGAATTGAAGCCGAGTATCAATTGCTGCAGTTGACTGCAGTTTGCCAAAGAAGTGATGAATTCCCACCCCTTGTTATCATTAGCTTCAATCCTATTGTAAGCCAACCTGAGTTCTTGGATAGTTCCCAGCTTCCCCAATGTGGGAGGCACGTAACCCCTAAATCTATTATCTATGAGGCGAAGTACTTCGAGTGAAGATATGTTGGATATTGAAGAAGGGATGGTTCCCATGAAGTGATTGCGAGTCAAGGCAAAATGTTGCAACTTGGGGAACATGCTTCCGATATCACCCGGAATGCTTCCATACAACATATTAAACCCTACTGAAAATACTTCAATAGATGACCAGTTGTAGAGAGAAGGCGGGAGCATACCGGAGAGGATGTTGCCAAAGATACTGAAATATTGCATGTTCTGGATGTTGCCAAGCCCTGGTGGGATTGAGCCAGTGAGCTGGTTATAGGTGAGATCGAGGTACGATATATGGGACATATTGGCCAGTGACACTGGGATGGGCCCTGTGAAGCTGTTGTTTCTCAAGCCAATCACCGCCATAGACGTGAGCTTCTGCCCCAGCTCAGCCGGGATGCGCCCGCTAAGCTTGTTGTTTTCCAGTCGCATTATGGCCATATGGACACACGAGCTCAGGTTCAGAGGCAATACACCGGAGAAGGAGTTGTCACTCAAATCAAGCCTCCGTAGACGGCGGAGGCGACCGAGGCTCGCCGGAATGTCCCCGTGGAGCGAGTTGAAGTTCAGGTCGAGTTCCCGCAGGAACGTGAGGTTCCCGATGGCCGGGGAGAGTGCCCCGGCGAGCCCGGTGCCGTTCAATCTCAGCGCCACCACCCGCGCTGGCCTGCTGTGGCCGCAAGTCACGCCTTCCCAGCTGCAGAAGGTGGCACTGCTGCTGTTCCAGGAGGCCAGCGAGCCGCCATGGCTGACCCGCGCTTTGAAAGCAAGCAGCGCGGCCGCGTCGCTGGCGCTGACAACAAGGATCATCAGGGTGGGAACAATTGTCCATAGCAATCTCATGGCTGTGGCCCCTATTGCCTTGTCCATCCTGCGCTCTTGGTTTGGTTGCCAAGTAGCATATGCAAGTTCCATATATATACTATCTTGACTTACTTGGCCATGTGTGCGTGTTACAAGTGCTGTGCTAATACTTAAACAATGTCAAGATGGCTGCTTGGCTTGTTCCAAACCTAGATTCAGAATTTTTCAGATGGCCGCTTGGCTTGGTCCTGTTTACATGTGATGCACTAATAATATTTCCATCAACAAGGGCTGCTACTATGGCGGGATATGGATATAATATATCGGCAAGACTTGATCGTTTCAACAAGTTGGTACAAGTGCAACAGGTGTGTGTCTGACTTTGACCAATAATTACTTGAGCAGCTACACTGAATTTGCAACAATCATGTTCATTTTCCTGTAATTAGTCTTTAAGTCAACCACATGAGTTGTCGATCGGCAGATGCTCTATTAAGCGTGTAGTTTGTTTCCCTTCATGATCCAACTCTCAAGCAGCTTCCCTAGCCGCCTGCAAGTGTCCACAGACTCACCAATAACAGCTAGTTGCTGACGAGTCCACGGCTGTCGTCAGTACTGACTAGTTCTATACTAGTGCCCATTCCGCTAAGGAATGAATAAACCTGCAGACTCTACAAGCGTTGCGAGTGCAGGATGAGTACGTTATTAAGTATAGAGTAATTCCACTGTTGTAATACCAGCTGTCCATTAGTTCGTAACTGTACAATCTAGTAGCAATTCATGGCTGCTGCTTAAAAAATGCCTGTACTATGATCGACTAGGTTATTTTCTATTCTCCGGCTGTCGGTGTACTATTGAGTCAGAATGCCCGCTTTAGTACCAACAGATTTATTTTTTTCAAAAGGGGGTTTGCCTCGGCCTCTGCATCAGAACCATGCATACAGTCATATTATTGATAATCAAAAGGTCCAACAAAAGTCTTCGGGTCTTAAAAAAGGAAAAGAAGGCTCACAAAGAGCATGAATGCAAAAACAAGATAGCCACAACCGGTAGGCAAAAAATAAGATAAGAAACTAAATGTTCAGTATGTATTTGTACTGCATGTGTATTGGAGTTGTGGCCCACCTCCTAGTCTTGTATAGTTGAAGTAGAGGCCTTCCTTTGTATTATATATGCGTGCACCAGCACCCCAATCAATACAACGATTATTGTATTGCAAAATATCTCTCTACATGGTATCAGTTTTTAGGTTTTAATCCTCGTCTTCCGCCGCCGCCGCCGCCGTGACCCCAGCACCGCCGTCGCCGCGCGAATCCTCCCACGCCGCCGCCGCCGCGCGACTCCTCCCGCGTCGCCGCCGCTACCCAGCCGTCGCCGCCGCCGCGCGACTCCTCCCGCGCCATCGCCGCCACCCCGCCGCCGCCGCGTGACTCCTCCGCGCCGCCGCCGCTACCCAACCACCGCCGTCGGACCCGCAATGGCGTCCACCGGCCCGTCCGCCGTCGCCTCTGCCGTCCCGCCGCCGGCGCCCTCCGGTGCAGCCCCGCTGCCGTACGGCGCGGCCGCCGCCTACGGCGCGCCTGGCATCACCCACATGCAGCTGGCGCCCTCCGGCGCGGCCCCGCCGCCGTACGGCGCGGCCACCGCCTACGACGCGCCCGACGTCACCCATATGCAGCCAGCCCCGCCAATGGCCGGCGGCCATGCTTCGCCCGCCCCGTCGATGTCTTCTCCGGGCTGGTGTTATCCATTGCCACCTTACCAGCAGTGAACAAGTCAATCCCTACCTGTTTTCCGTGATGTACGTATCAACAAGTCAATCCTTACCTGTTTTTATGTATTCCCATGAACATGCACATGCATCCTTTGTTAAATACATTTGATGCAACAATGACGACACATGGAACACATTCTTGTTCACATATATACAGATTTTCTTTTTCACATTTAAAATTTCTTGTACATTCGTCCTATCCATTCTTTTTTCCAACGAGAATACACTTTTTATAAGCATCTTCTATTATTACTAGTTACTAACAAACGTGCGTCACCCACATAATCATGGCATTTTTCTAGTACCGCGGTTTAAGATCACCGAACTTGGGCCACCTTCGCAAAGGGCGAATAACACTACATTTTTCAAGAAATTTTATTCAAATTTGTGCTATAAGAAAATAATCTGATCCTTGCTTTTATCGTCCCATATTTTCTAGATTTTTGTATCTCATCTTGTTTCGGGGAGGGAGATTCGAGGAGATGATTATGGGGCCTAAATATGGTGAGCTTTTAAGAGATAACTATCTGCAGTGTTAAACTATAATTAAGATGTCCGATGTTTAGCGCTAAATGCATTTGGCGCTAAACATTAAACGATGTGTACAACGTAAGGTTAGAAATATGTATTGTATGCTCTCCATGCTTTTATAGGGGTAGTAACTTGTATATGGATAGATTACTACCACTCAATCTAAAATAAATATAAGTAAATATTATGTAGGAACTTGTTTAATCAAGAGCATCATAATTGAGCACGATTGTCTTGTTGTACAATGTGTCCCTAATCCATCTAATTTTCCAACTGGCCCACGACCCTGAGAAACAATTTTTCCAACTAGGGGCATATGCCCCACCCCCTCCCAAGAACAAATCATCCCCTTAACAAATGTTTTCTATAACTGATATGGTCATGATCCATCCATCCTCTTTGTGTTGATTTATCTTGCGGGAGTCTGACTTTTGTTTGACCCGATCAGCCAACCCATCCATCCTATATGGCAAAATGTGCCAGCAAGTCTAGTGAGGACGGGAAGCGGCATTGAATTAATTCACTTCGGTATTCTCATGAAAATCCCACTCACGCCGTCCCATGAGACAAAACTATAAATATTTGGAGGTGCCATCCAGCCTTCAGACATGAGATCTATCAATCTGCCACCATTTTGAATCTCCATATTTTGCATTTTTTGAAAGTTGTTTACAGACTCAATTAAAATAGTGATAAAATTTTCGTCCATTTCGTACCAGTCAATTGTGAGAGCCCTAACCTTGATCATATGGCTCAGCTCTTCCACAATGTGAGGAGATAAGTGTAGCACTATTGTCCCGAGCACTTTAAGCGATGTAAAGTTCCCCGTTCCTTTTGGTAGCCTTGTTCTTGTATAAACACATAGGTATATCAGATATCTAAGTTGAACAACACTTTCAAGTAATTCTTTAGTTCTTACCGAGATGTCAAATGTCTGCAAATGAGGAAGCCTACCGTCTAATCACGTGTACGATGGGGGCATATGCCCCCCCCCCCCCTCCAAAAAAGGAATAAATCATTTCCATGTAGTCCGCCCATACTGTCCCCGTGCCCGAGGACACTTGGTTGCTATAGACACCGCGCCCGCCCATACTGTCCCCACGCCCGGGTTCCGCTTTTTCCTCCAATGATGATAAAATATACTTCGGCGGCCCATCTGATTTTGAATATGAAGCTGAACTTAATGACTACAACAGATGCATTGTTGCTAGAAGGGGTAATGTTATAGTTGGATAAAATTAAATTCATGTATGCAAGAATGTACAACTCCCTAAAATTTATTTTTCTTTCATGGAGGTTTTTATAATCAGGGGAAGCTGAGTGTGAAACGTACGTTGTATAGGGCAATTTTGTGGTTTTATCATGCAGAAGGTGAAATTTTTTGAGAAGCAAGTCGGAAGATCAAATCTCAAATACCTTTCTATGTCTACGAGGTCACTAACTCTATAGTCAAGAATAAGGTAAGAACTTTAAATTTCTTTCATATCCAATTCCACTAGTCAACATGCTATAAATTGATGGCAAGTGATTTTTTGTTCTTTCAGTATTTCTCATTCAATATTACACTCACAATTTACTCAAGTGTTATATGCAAATAGAAAGACTCGTGCATGTCACCAACGAGTTACCAAAGGTTCTCATCAAGTCAGGTTATCCATGGGCCAGCATGACAAGCGTGCGGTCATCTCTACAAGCTGAGCACATGTTGTTAGGGACGCCCTGATCCTAAAAAAAATGACCATCTTCTGGTTTAAAGAACACGAAAAAGGTAATCCTGATCTCAACATATTCACCGGAATACCCTTTTCGTGAGTCATGTTTTTCAAAATAAATTGATTAAGTCATATTTTTGGAGGGAATTTATTGAGTCATTTTGTTCTTGAAGTACGTGATCAAACGGTACTTGTATGAAACTTATAGAACTTGACCGATCATATTTTTTTTATCTATTTCTATCCAACCGTTAAACATGGCTTGTGCCCAAAGCAGCTGCCATGTTTGCATCCCAACCCACTGTTTGAAACTCCCCTTCCCCTCCCGGGCCAGTCGCACACGATGTTTGGATTGTTCGTTG